ATTATTATTATTATTATTACTGCATCTAACTTATTTTGCAGTTTAGTTACAGGGAATCAAAACTTTTATTTTGAAAGTGTTTTGTACAGAGATGTTCTGCAAAGCCTTTAACTTATTTTACTTTTGAAAACACAACAATGTCTACAACTAAACCAGAACATCCATTTTACATAAATTCAATATACAATACTCACACAGTATCAATCTGCAGATCCGATAAATCCCAGTCCCTCCAATATTTGCCGGATTATTTGTAAATTAATTTATGCGCTTGAAAAACAAACAAAAATTATAAATGAACTGAGTTTTATGGTGATGTATTTCTTCAAAGCAGTCGTATTTATAAACACTGAAAGACATCTCAGTTGCATCCTGGTACATTTTTGTAACTATAAATTAATGCTTACTGGATTTATAAGTTTAGTATGAAAACATCACTGAAGAGATTGACCGGAAGTTGTAAACTTGTCTAACTTGATGAAGGTAAAACTGAAATATCGCTTCAACATCAATAGGGTTCGCTGTCGTGTGTTGTTAAAACAGATTTGTTGCAAAGTTTTTGTAACTTTGTGATGATTGTACGACTTGATGATAAGTTGAAATAAATGAATATAAATGGTATAAACGGACTGTGTGTTTTTGTTTCCTAAGAACTGTGCGCTACAACAGTCTTGATTTTGTCCGTGAAGCTGGTCCCGGTGGTGCTGACCGTGGTTCAGGTTTTGTTTGGTAAAATAAAAGTTTTAACATTCATGACGTTGGTTTCAAATGTTTATTCATTAAAATAAAACCCAAAAGCACTGGACAGCGCCCGCGGTTCGAACCCCGTGAGGAGCGCAGAACTAATTCGACCAAGAATTGTTGAAGTAACCGCTGAGCTAGACCAGAGCAGAATAACAGGTCCTACACTCAGCTTTCAAAGCCGAGGCAGGTACGGCAGGCCGTTCTGACATTTAATGGGTTCCATTGTATTCCAGATATCTGAAATTAGTTCATGACCAGACATAAAATATCTTTAATTGTAGTTTTACTAGTCAGAAGACCTATTTGAGACACCTCTACTTACATTATGACTAATATAAATAAATGACGTCAGATTTACCATTAGGTTGAATGAAGGCTCTAATTCAAGATATCTTTAAATAAAATTTGACTAGTCCAAATTAAAGTTCTAGATATATCTAAGTTAGTTTTCTCTAGTCATTATTTGCTTTCAATATGTATTTTGCTTTTGTTCATAGTCATGTTTCAATTAAATATATTAT